TACATACTTTGTTTGTCATTCTAAAATGGTAAGATGATTGGCATGTCAAATATATAGAAAAATCATTATTAGTTAAAAATGAAATGAAAGTTCGTTTGTCTCTTCACAGTATGTAAATATCATTTTGCTTTAGTAATTTGCTTAGATATTTTAGTAGAAGGATTTATGCAGACATTTAATATGTACACTTATAGCCAAGTGTTGTAATCAAGTTGACTGAATAAACGGAAGTTTTCTCTTCTTTGATACAAGTATTTAAAAATATATATTTATATGTATTTTGTTTGCCAAACGCAGAAACGATGTACTAATAATGTAATTTTTCAAAACTTTTTATGAATGATATCCGGAAATTTCGTAGGTGGATATTTTTTGATCTCATGGCAAGCAACATTATTTTTGTTCAACTTATGAACCCATCGAAGTTAGATAACCACTGAAAACATGAAAGGCATAGGTGACCGTTTCTTCCTTGCATGGGAATCCTGAGCAATATCTTTCTATGACCCCGCATTCAGAAGTCAGAATCAAGACCTCTGGTCTTGCTCTCAAAAGCTCAGAATCTGACCCATAACAATCCACGATATTGTGCGACCATTTTCATTGCCTTTGGTGGGTATCTTCTTAAAACTTTAGAAGGTTTAACTCCACTGGTCGCGGCTTCTCGTTAGAACTAAAATTTTGTCTTGGTGCTAGTCACTATTGAGCATATGATGATTGCCAGTATGGAGTTTTGGAGAATGTTGAATCTTATTGTAACCATGGACTGATCCAATTTGGAAGATAGTCGCGCAATATCGTGGATTGATTTAAGTTGGACCTGTTAACCGTTGAATCCCAGGTCATTGATCTAGAGGTTAAGGTTACTAGGGAAAATGCAATTCCATGGTTTATATAAATCCATACAGTATATTTTTAACAAAGATGAATAATTATTTATTTTGTGTTTTGCTGAACATAATTTTCAACCGAACGAATTTTTCTGTCCGTTTGTTTATGAACTTTCGGAATATCTGATTTTGGTTCGTTTTTACTTATTTTAAGTAGAAAGGTAATATGGAAAGACTCGTACATAAATTGTGTAGACGGAAACAAAGTTGAATAAATAAAAAATAAATAGCCAGAAATCTGTATCAGTAATTGATACAGTATGTGATTTGGGTCTATTTAAATATACCGACATGTCTGGCGATCTTTTTGAATTTCACGATAAAACTTCATTGATCTTTACTGTTTTATTGCACATATACGCGTAAATATATTAATTTTCATTATGCTGCATTTGAGGTTTGATGTTTCTCCACTCAAATTTTTCTGATACCGCCAGTAAACACCGTCAAAGATTCTTCGTGCAGGATATAACATTTGGCTAAATGTTTGACGATTTTGAATGGTTTTATTTCCAGGAAGAAATGAAAAATGCCTTCAAATAAAGCAGTGTTTCTCGGAACTACTTAGGAAAGATGGTTTCAAAAATAAATATATTTTTCTCGTGTGATTTTGGCTATCTTGGGTTTTGGAAGACAGTTGTCTTCTATGATATGGTCCCTTTGCTGTGCAGAAGTTTTCTCTTTGTCAGTTTGTGATGCGAAAACCTAGTCTGATGATTTAGAGAATTTGCATAGACTTCGGGTGTACATTCAATAGCCTAATTAAAGTATTGCTCTTGTATAGTAGAATCACATAAGTATGTAGTTTTAAGGCGAGACATTTGGTTCTAGATAAAAAATAGCAGCCGATTATTGAGGTTGAAAAATTTTATCATATGACGTGGTTCAAACATGTGTTACACATGCCCAGCAACACCCTTCTAAAAGAGAATGTAGTAATAGTGAAAATAATTCAGAAGGCGGAGAAACTGAAACATATCATTAGCTCTTTACATCATTGCCTGTCAATCAGAGGTATTCGGTAAGATCTAGACTTCCAATTGGAAACTGATGGCATGACTGAAAGTCGTTTTCATGACAAAGTTCTATCAATTACCTTCTTTCCTATAAATCTTAGGTTTAATAGTATTTCATCGTTTTTACCCCTCAAATTTATTTCTTCTTTTGAAATAATGTTTTCCATGATAAACTTTTCATTTCAGTTAGTACTAGTTTATTTTCTATGCTTTATCTACTGGTAATTTTTTATCTCGCTATGCTGATATATGTGGCAGTTTATACCGATATATTCGTCCCAGATATGTTTTTCTTAGTCGACCGATAACTGACTAAGTTCACCCAAGGGAAATGGAATATTACAACAAAGTTAGGAGATCGTAGATATGATTGAATCCAACACACATACATATATACTCATATATGTTCATGTTTTAGTAGTAAATGCTTTTCAGTATATAATAAAAGTTCATTTTTCTCCCTTTTCTTTATCTTTTCAAAATAATAATTTATTTATTCACTATCTATCAATCATTGTTTATCTCTCATCAGCCTATAGGGTCAATAAATACTAGCCTTAAACAAATTAAGAACAAATGAGAAGTGACAGGTATCTCCCTTTATTTATGCAGAAAAGGCAAAGTAAAAAAGCTATTATAACCCTTTCTTTTCAACGATGAATATAATAGTAATAATAATAATGACAATAGTATCTATTTCATGAATTGTTTTTATTAATGTTGAGCATAAAATCTCATGAGTTGCTATAGTACTGAGATTTTATGATTAAATAAATGCACACAAAGCGACAATGACAGCATATCATTTACAGTGCTGTTTATGAATTAAATGTAGGTAAATTGTCATTGAATTTAAATGATCTACTTTGGAAATACATTTTATTAAGTACTCGGATTAGAATGAGTGAAAATGAAGGGTTTGTTTCTCTTCCCCTTTTAGATTGTCCTTAATTATATTTTCGTTGAATTCATATTTGTCAGAATGATTATTAAGTATTTATGATATATTATGACAAAAAAATATTCAATCAGTATTCCATAACAAATGAGCATGAAAAATAGTCTGATAGGTAATCTAAATGCATAATTACATTTAGAAACACATGAAGTTTGCGCAAAGATGTAAGTACATACCTTTAGTTATTCAAAGGTCAATTATGGATCTTTTCAACTAATGTCTTACATTGGTAATATTGAATGAGTATTCCTTATGTTGAGTATAAGGTACTGGGTAGAGATAGTAAAAAGGTTGATGAGTGTGTAAGCACTTCTCGACTGTGATTGTCGGAGGAAGAGTTAGGTATACACAGATATGGAAAACATCGAAATGAAATGCTTGTCAGCGAAGTTGCAGACTGAAGGAACCATTTAAAGACGGTCAGACCAATATAAACTTAGTGATAAAAGTCTTATATGACATAATTTAAGATAGGATGTAAGGACATAGATTTGTTCACTTTTTATCTCCTACCCATCCCTATATTTTGTATTGTTATACAATTCTCATTTCTCCATTTCATTTTGTTACATTATAACCTACAAACTCTATGTCGTGTTTGCAAATTAAACCGTATTAATTCCATATTATTACATCTAACGTTTTGCTCTTGAGTTTACTAATTCAGAGTAAGGTATAGGATTTTGAAACAACATAAATTTGTACTAAGTTTAATATTTTCTAACGGCATGTGTACTATTATGCATACAAACTGAGAAGTATTACATTACGGATCAGGATAAATTTTACATACGGTCAGCTGAAGATTTTTTCATTGCTTTGTGCTTTGATTGATATTGATTTTGGGTAGGAAAAATTAAACACTTTCCATAATTCATTTTGATGGCCAGTCTTAAGAGAGGTAAATGAAATAATAAAAAATAAATGATTTGCCAGTTATTGGTCTTAAAAACACTATGTTTCACCAATTGATGTTTTTTTTTTCTAAAATACACTATAGAATACTACTAGCTAATCATATTTATTACTAACTGTTTACCATAAATAATTAATTATCGAATAATTTATAACACTGTTCATATTTCTTTCTAATGAAACTTATAAATAACAATAAATCAGAAGTGTTTTTTTCGAAAATGACAAAAATTTAGTAAGCTGTTAGTTCCAGTCAAATTTTGAAGGTAGTTATTTTCACAATTTGCTATCAGTCAAGAACATTACTAATACATAATGTTCATATTGAAGTTTAAGAAAAACTATCAGTACGATCTGTTAATTTATCGTAAAAAGGGTGTAAGATGAAAAATTATCTCATAATGGAATGGTCACAATATTTTTCTAAAATTTAGGACGTTTTTTATAAGCAAAGATAGATGGTGGCGAGCAGTGGTATCCAGGACGCGCTTTCCTTTCTATTTGGGACTTATCAGGTGGTTGTATCTTTAACTTTAGGTATGACTGAATTCAATAAAACTATATATATATATATAACCATCCATCTTTACTTATAATGTTGCGACTTAAGATAATATCGAGTCAATCGGCACAGGACGCACATATGCTAATAAGGGACTGATCAATTACAGTTTTAAGCATCACTGGGAAGACAGAAATAGCCAAAAAATAGTGGTAAGTTTGTATTGAAAAATCTGCTTATCCGAACAAGCTATGAAAGGCACTGGGAGTTGTGTTAAAAGAATTTCTTCTTCAGATAATGAAACTTTGTGGTATAAATTTTTATCAAGAGAATACCACTTTCAGGTGTATTCAAGAATAATATAAACAGTAGTCGTTGAAGAATGTGAATTTATGTAGATTGAGGTATCGACGATGTACAAGTACTTTCCTATATTAGAGCATAGCTTAAATTCATTTCATTTCAATAAAGAATAAAAAATGGTGTATCCAGACAATTATTTTTGACAGTTATCAACTAATCATGTAAGGATTTGAACAAAAAATAAGTAGAAACCTGAAATACTGGTAATTTTCTGATCTAAATATTTGGTTATGTAGGAAGTGTTTAGGATAGTTCGCCTATAACAAAATATTGTTGAGCTATTGTTTCACTTAAACTTATAATAACATTATTTAATTTATTTTCTTCTGTTTAATGTTTCTCTTTTCTTCACAAAGATTTTGGTGGAGAGCATAGTTCCGGTGATGAGAGTGAAGGTGAAGTTAGTTGGATTGAAGGTGTTGCTATACTTTGTGCTGTTTTGGTTGTAGTTTTAGTAACAGCAACAAATGATTGGCAGAAAGAAAAACAATTTCGTGGTTTACAAGATAAAATTGAATCAGACCATAAAATGTCTGTTTTACGAGATGGTGATATTACAGAAGTACTAGTTGGTGATATTGTTGTTGGTGATATATGTTTAGTGAAATATGGTAAGTGAATGTTTCCATAATTTAGCTTATCCAAAAAATAATTCAGTATTAAATCTTCCTACTTTCATTTTGCTTCTGTTTCTTAACAGATTTGATTGTAATATTTTATTGTTTATACTTAGATTGTTCTTAAATGTTACGTAGATAGTTGTTTCTTTCAAAATTAGCATTGTCAAATTTCTTTCATCTTGCTATGCAGATAATGAAACCTTTATGAATTGTTATCAGATGATCATTTGAATAGTGTGCTATGAATCTGAAGTGATTTGGACTGACCTTTTTGTTAGCCTGTTCTATGTTCACCATGTGAATGTATTTGTTTTGCTATCTAAACCAATTTATTAGTTATCTGTTGGATAGCCTATACGTTCATCTAGTCAAAATAAAAAATGTTCTGACTAAAAAGTATTACATTGAAATCATAAACCAATTTAAGTTAAACCGCCACTGAAAACATGGAAATAATGAACTGCCGTCCAATCCTAATATGAGACTCCTCAACAGTGGGCATCCACCATCCTGAAAATAGTAATCGGATCAATGTCTTTCAAGTTCGCGTGCGAGCGCTTAACCTCTATATCATTGAGGCAGCATTCAACGGTGATGACGTACAACCTTATTCAATCTAGGAGTTCTATACTAGGACGAAATGGCTGTCTAGTACTCCAAGGTTTTCAGTGGTGGTCTGACTCAGATTGGTTGATGATTCCAATGAAGTTCATCAGTTTTCACAACCCCATGATATTATTCTGTTGATAGAAAAAGCATATTTTGTTTACGAGAAATTAATATATGACTTTTTTCATAAAACTCTTTGGTTGAACGAAAGTCACATAATAAATTATGCGAACTAACTTTCATACAATGGGAACGTAACAGAAGGTTAACAACTAATAATACTAACCTTATGTATTTTTAAGAAAATAATATAAGCATGATTTATCAATTTGATTGTCAAAATGTCATACATTTGGTTTCTTCAGTCGGTTTAGAAAACAATGTCTAGTTTATATTGCCATTTATTTATATTTATAATGCTTCTTTCTATGTCAGAATGCTCATTTTCCATTGACCTGTTAGTTTAAACGAGTGGATTAGTTTTTTGGGTTTACGACCTTTGAATATATCTATGACGGGGTGGTGAAGTTTGAAGTGTTCTTCATATTTAAACCTACTTAATTTAGACATTGTATTGAGCCACTGGTTTGAATATTTTGTCTAGTTTTCTTTAACAGTATTTATTTATAAATTAGTCTTCCCCAACTGTATCAAGTTATCTAATGACACTTTTACCAGAGCTATCGTGTACACTTCATTATATGTTACGGAAACAAAGTAAATTCCTTCAGTTTTAACAGTGAATATAGAACATTTCAAATTAGATTCATGTGGCTTAGATCAGATTTATTGTAATATTTATCTTATATAAATTGCTTCATTGGATTTAGTTGGATTGCAAATGTTGATGTACCGTATTACATAAAGACTAAATAATCACTTAGTTCTTGAATATATGTGTTTTGACTGGTTCCTTAGGTTTTGGTTAGTTACAAAAATTCATATAAGTAAATCTGACAATAAATGTTTAGCTCATGTTACACTTGTGACAATATCAAATCAAATCACTGTGTTACATCATTCAGAGATACGAAGCACAGTCAACGAATAACGGATATTGTAGTAATGTAACAAATTCTATATGTTATCACTGATACTGTAAAATTCAAATGTTTCAGTGGATTTCAACGCATAAGTTATTTAATATTTCATGTTAATCCATACGTAATGTAATTCGTATATTTCACAAAAGTTTAAAGATACGCTATGAAATTGAAATATAATAATTCAGCTTTTAAATATGTAACAGAATTAGTAAACAATCAGAAGAATTGATCAATTAAGTATGAATATAAATATGATTATCAGTTTTGAAAATCTTATTTTCCTTCTTTGTTTAACATTGCAACTCAGTGAGATATGATGAGAATTTTAATGTTATCACTTTCTTTTCTTGCTAAATTTCATTCATTTTTGACACTCCTGAAGGAGTGAATATTTGTCATATATACATATATATGTGCTCAATGGACTGAAACTTCTTTTGCTGAAGAAAACATCTAGATCAGGCATTGTACCACTACGTTTCTTTATTTAGGTATGCTACACCTAAGTTCACGGGTTATTCTCCTAGTTTCTGATTTTCCCTCTGTTCATTATTATTATTATCATCGGCTTCTTGACCTTGATTTTTACATTTTAAATAATCGAGAACATGCATTAATGAAATCAACCGACAAAACATTAAGCACAAATGGATTTCATTTTCATTATTTGCTCATTATTGATACTTATTATTATTTTAAATAAATTAATAAGAATATGATTGTTTTCTAATTCGTCCACTAACTTTCTTTTTCCTTTCAGTAGTTTTTCTGTTTATTTTTCTTTTTCTTATCTTTCTATTCTTCTATCCTGTTCAGCTTCTTTTTCTCTTTTCTTCCTTAACAATTTCTCTTCTCTCCAATTACAATGCACATTCTTTCTCAATCAGCTATGCATTTATTATAATTTGTTTGTTTTCGTCACAATCTTTTCTTTCTTACTGTTCCACTTTTTTTATTCAGTAGATTCTTTTTTTTTGTTTTGTTTGCTTGCATTCAAAATCAAATGGAAATCAGAATATTATATTTAATAAACTGTTTTGTTTTGCTGTAATTCTTTGTATCCAAATATCAATGTTTATTTGCTTGTTTCAAGTTCACTTGTGTTGCATTGTGTTTTTGTTATTGAGCTCCAACTTTAAAGATTTTTGAGAAAAAAATATCAATGTGATAACATACCTATGCATATATATATGTATATACAATAAGATAACCAATTATATAAAAACCAGTGGAATAGTCGACCAAAACATAGTTATCCGCGATAATTCAATAATAATAATAAGTAATAATTATATTACAAATTAAATTTAATCTGCATTCACTTTAATGTTTTCTGTTCTTAAGTTTATTATAAGTTTTCTTGATTTAATTACATTTTAATTTTCTTTTATTTATTTTTTTCGAAATAAAAGTTAAAAGGTAAACTTTATCTCTCGTTTTTTCTTTTCTTTCTAATTAATTTTATTATCTTTAAATAAAGAATAATTTTTTTTGAATTTTTTCCCCGAAACTAAGTAGCACCATTGTTTGGTAAACATGGTAAATATTACAATACAATTGACATTATCTACTGCATAATGCAATGTAAACGTTGTTTATACAATTAAGTTATTTTTTTTTGAAATTAACAAGATAAGAGCAATGAAAAATTTAGAAAGACAGAATGACTGATATCAGTCTAAACGTGATAAGCCATTGATTTATCGGTCTATTATTGTTGATTCGGATACGAACCTTTCCCTATTCATGTCGAACATTCAATGTTGATCTCGAAATGATGATCGGATATTTTAAATATTTCCAGAGTTGAATAAACCAATGAAGTATCTTGTTACTATTGTTTATAAGCATTCAAATAAACATTAAGCTAAAACGTTTTAAAAAATTAATAACCTGTAAAATTTTTTGGGAACGTCAGTCAGTTAAACAAAAATCTAAAACCTATAACCTATCTGCATTGTTTCAAATTGCCACGCCAAATTAACACAACGGATCCCTGATGGGTGGAAGCAGTAATAGTGGTAGAAACCATTAGGTTATAAAGTAATGTAATTAAAAAATATTAAAAACTGTAATATAACTTTGAAATCCAGTATCTAGGGGAAGAGCAGGAGTAAATCCATGTACCCTATTGCAGTCGATCCTAATCCATGTAGTGCAATTTCCAAGCATCGAGTACAATAATGAGACTGGTTACAATGATTAGTCTGCAACTACTCATATTGCTCTATCTAATGGCCAACAATTTCGCTTCTTGGTTTGGCAACCTCTAGCATTCTTCAAATATGTTCCTCTACCAGCCATTTTTCTTATTGTAAACATTTTTCTTCGAATTCCTTTTTAATATGCATGGATCTTACTACACAGAATAATCTTTTAAAAAAGCTACTTAACGTGATATGTCGACATTTTCAATTCATTATTGTGGACATAAATGGGCAACCGTTTATTCTATTTTCGTTTAGAAATTACATGAATGAGAACATGAAAAGGTTATTCTTTTTAACTTATATGATCAATTCTTTTAGCAATGTTATTCTTTTTGATTCTATTTTGTATGTATGTGCGATTCAAATCACTAGGCGGCAAAATCTCTTTTTTTATATTGAAGATTTTTAGACGTTGTTTACTATTTTTTAGATTTTCGAACTTATTTTTATGGTTTGTTTTTATACTTTGTATGGTGTATTAAGTTATTTATGCTGTGAATATATTATCTGGTTACTCATTACAATGTTTCGAATTAACAAAATGTGTTTGTAACGCAACTTGTTTAACATATAGAGCTCTATGCACTCGAATTTAACCCATACAGTTTCAGATTTATGACGGCTTTGCAGTCTATCTGGTTGATCTTACAACTTATCAGTAGAAAGCGAAATACCTAAAGTAATAAAACCATTCGTTATTTTGATTTGTTTAGTTAGCAATATATACGATATGTGTTGTACAACTGTACGGACGTCTTAATAATTTTATTTAGTACATGATAATTGATGAAATAGTGAATAACCATTCGAAATGCCTTCAGTTTCATCGCTTTTGAAATGGAACCGTTTAGGAATAGGTTTTTAGGCGATGAATAATTTCGAATAGGTAGCTGAAGTTACTAAGTCAGTGAAACACTACACTAGATTTGAGGATTTCTCCGTATTACTTAGAAGGTAGAAATGTGAGTAATCAAACAGGCCATAAATGATTGATCATTACTACTGTTGTTATTATTATTTTCAAACTTTGCATTCTCTGAGTTGAATAGTTTATTTGCGAAACTTTTATTTTCGTTCCTGATTTTATTACCAGTGCCTACTTCAAGTAAAAGCAATATAATCAATG